TCTACACTCTTTTCTCACACCCCTGCGCCCAATAAAACATTGGGTGGGCCTGGCGCCCGGGGGCACTGACCTGCCCCTATGCCCCGTGGAGAGAGAGAGAGAGAGAGAGAGCTTGGCCTATTCTGGCATAGCCGGAGGCCATCTGGCCGTGCTCGCCAGCGCTTGACATGTGATCGTGCATGTACGCAAACGACTTTCGTAGACATCAATCGAGGTTAAGGGACTTTGCACTCTCACCTTGCACGAACGGTGCTATAGGGAAAAGCAGGGTCTAGGGGCAGTCTGTTTGCAGTTGTTGTTACCGCCTTCGTGTCGCCCATGACATGGGTTGTGTCTCAAGGGCTCATCTGCTTTCATCGCTCGCAGGTGTTGGGCTTCTGCAGAGTTCAGGCATGCATGGCTAGTCATGGCTAGTCATCCTGCTCATCGAGGCTGTAGCTCCCTGGGTCAAGGTAGGATCCTTGCTTTTTGTCAGCCTGCATGCATGGGAATTTCACTTCGGCGAGGGATCCAAAATGCGGATCACACCCACATCCTAAAGACCACTTTATTTCGCGACGCCAAACTAAAGAACTCAACAATCACACTTGCGATATCTCCCGATCAGTCTTCCGAGAAAGCTTAGCAGAACCTTGCATTCAGGCATGCTTCTGACCCTTGCCCTGATTCGGAGCAAAGAAGGCGCTTCTCAACACTTTTCGCACGCGTCAATCATCCATCTCGAACCAACCGGCGCAGAGAAGGAGAGCTGGAGAGACAGGCAGAGGCAGAAACTGGGCGCTAACGCGCGCGGGTGAGGGGGACTAGTTCCTCCTTGCCCCTAGCCCTGGCGAAAGAAAGGCAGAGTTTCTACATGGTGCTGTGCATGTGTCCTTCTGTGCCGATGCGGCAGCCCGGAGCCATGGAACAGTTGCGGCAGATGGCAATTTGCCACGAGAGGGGACACGGTGCAAGTACAAGCTCTAGTGAATGATGAGGCCGGTGGATGGTTCAATTATATAGTGTTCTGCTCGGGGGGTTGCAAGTGTTGCTGCACGGTGGCCTCGTTGCTTTGACTCACCCGAGAGACAGGGGTGAGGGGGGACCTCGACATTCCCCTATGCCCCGAATTGAAGTGAAGAGAGTACTAAAGCGCCGGGGTGAGGGTCGCTCCCTCATCCTTAAGCCCTGTGGAAGAAAAAGAGCGGGGAATGGCGAGAAGTTGGCAGTGACATGCACCAGATTGTTGCTACTGTCGAGGACCTGCTGGAAATCCCGGCTGTCCTCCAGACCATCCGGACAGGACACACTGTAGTCAAGAAGTCGTGGACGGGGTGGAGACAAACCCATGAGACTGCATTTAACAAACACAGGAAAACAAACACACACACACAGAGACAGACAGACGCACAAATAAATACATACACAGACACAGACACACAGACACACAGACACACAGACACACAGACACACAGACACACAGACACACAGACACACAGACACACAGACACACAGACACACAGACACACAGGCACACA